ATTAATCACTTAATTAAGTGGAATTATCATTTTTCTATATTTATTTTGCTATTTATTGCCTTTGTGTCACCCCCACCCCCTAAATGGTGTCACCCGGTGCTGTCCGCACCCTCTCCCCCTCCTCTCGCTACGCCTCTGCTAAGACGAATAGTATAAATGAAACATTATAAGAATATTTATTTTGAAACTCGATTTAATCGTAAATATTGATAATGTAGATTAATTATTAAAATTATTTTTTTTTTCTTTTTACACTCATAAAGTTTATTCAACTGTTATCTGATGCATTATATTTGCATTGCCCATTGTACATCGCTCCCACATATTGTATTTCTGTTATAAATAAGTTCGTAGCCAACGTCACAGTTGACTATTGTACGTCTCATTTTCTTTAAAAGCAATAATCTACTATATATAATTTTTTTTTCAATACGTGATATCACATATTTTACATTTGAGATGTTTTTAAATGAATATTTTACAATTATAACAAACTAAGAAGCAAAAAAGTTATTACATTATTTTTACAACGGCATACCTTCGCATTTTGGTTTCGGATGACTCCACGTAGCTGAAGCTTGACACACTGTGTTGTTTTCTCCATTGAGATAGTATCCTAAGTTGCATGAATACATACACGTGCTGCCTATCCAATAATCTTGCTCAGCGCCAACACAGTAAATCTTTCCATTTGCAAAGTTTAATACGTTTTCTCTAGGACAACCGTCAACTTAAACAAGCGTAACATATTAACAAACTTATAAATATATTTACAAAAAACACCTACGTTTACGGTAACGCCAATCATTCCATATACGTCAAAGTCAACGTCAACGTCAACGTCAGCGTCAGCGTCAACGTCAGCGTCAGCGTCAACGTAAAATTCAACGTCAGTCTCAGTCTCAGTCTTAGTTTTAATCTTAGTCTTTTTCTTAGTCTAATAATAAAAAATACACTACGTCACATGTATTCGTATATATATATATATATATATATATATATATATATATATATATATATATATATATATATATATATATTCATATATGTTTATGCATGTATGCGTGTATTTATTTATGTATGAATGTATCAGATGTATCCCTACCGACACAACTGGGCTTTTCATTAGGTTCCCAAGCTACTCCACCATCATGATCAACGCATTTCACTGCTTCTGGACCCTGTAGCTTGAAGCCTTCTTTACACAAATAATGGCATTCACCTCCATATTCCAATTTGCAGTATGCTTTTCCATTTTGTATGCCTGCGAAACTGCTTGAACACTGCATTGCTGAGAAATGTAAACATCACATTTTTTCTCAAACATACGTTCTTAAAAAGATACGGTTACAGACATTAATTTGCAGTTAACAATTAGAAATATACACTGCAATATGACACATTTAAAATAAAATGCATTATTGCATGTAACGTATACATTATCACGCTCAATATGGAACGGCGCAGCGTAGCAGTAGAGAGCTAGCATCTCGATTTCGAATCCGAGTTCAAGTTAGTAAAACGTGCGTGACTCCACCCCGCACTGATGGGTACACTCTCGTTTTGGGAACGCAACGCGGCTGTGCATAGTGCTGACCATACTACTCCTTCATATGCCTAGGACCCTAAAACGGATGATATCCACTTCATCTGCCCAATTTGTCTTGGGCATGAACGGGAAAAGAGGATGATTGGTCGATATTATGTTCTCTAGTTTAAAAAGTAAGTATACAACATTATAGAGTAGTATCATTTGTATTTATATTCTTATAAAAACAATTTTGTATATATACACATTATGCATTACCTTACTTTCCGACTGAAATGCCTTGTTTTAGTAAGTGTTTAATTGTAATCTATTAGTTTTCTTTGACAAGTTGTAGAAAACTAGCAGATATTTAATATTATTTAAATGCCGTGTTAATTAATATACCCGTAATAGCCTTTCATAATGTTATTATTAATTTGTTAAATTTATAATAACTCAACCACCTTAACTTTTTCTTTAATAACTCATCATCATACTTTTAAAAATGAAAACGCAGTTTATTGTAATAAAATCTATAATGAATGTGTAGGCCAATGTATGTGTGTACGTGTACGTGTACGTGTACGTGTACGTGTACGTGTACGTGTACGTGTACGTGTACGTGTACGTGTACGTGTACGTGTACGTGTACGTGTACGTGTACGTGTACGTGTAGGCCTGTAAGCGCTGGTTACAACACACAATTTGCCATATTTATATTAAAAAAAAGAAATTAACAAAATATTATTTATTATATTATAAAATGTAAAACATACAACATGTTCAAGTCATATTCCATACTATCTATAATAAAATGAAATCAATTACATTAATATAATTCAACTCTTTAATATGACATTTAAAATTTTTTAATATACATTAATAACAATAGTTTTATTAGTATTTAACACAATCTAGAATATATAACAATACAATATTTAAGACCAATTTTTTGAAAATAATAATCTTAATCATTAATATAAAACGATATGATTTTTATGATCGCATTCCTTTTTTTTTTAACGTCTAAGTTACCACGTTCTTGTTCCTTTTAAAAAGCAAGAATTTACTTTCAATCGATTGTAATGATATATATATATATATATATATATATATATATATATATATATATATATATATATATATATTAATATATAAATATAAATATAAATATAAATATAAATATAAATATAAATATATATATATATATATATATATATATATATATATATATATATATATATATATATATATATAGTTTATATGCAACCGTCCCCTTATTACAATTGCATAGTGCTAATATGCTAATGCATGATTTCCAGAAGGAGATTTGTTCAGATGAACGATATAACAACACAGTTGCTATTGTGGCTTTACGTTTTAAAATATTATTGTTTTGTAAAATGTTACAAATTTAATTCAACTATATATATATATATATATATATATATATATATATATATATATATATATATATATATATATATATATATATCTTATGAAATTAGCAGATTATATTTAAATAGATTATTTAATATCACATACTTACACATTTGTTGTTAGTCGCAATAACACTTTGCGCTGTTATGCTGCTGACACAGTTTGGGATTATTAAAAAAAGTTAAAAGAAAGCGGGTTTTCTTCGGCATGGGGTGTGGTGTGTGCCTACACAACAATCACCAACAACTACAAAAGCAGTCCTTGTTATCCACAATATTGTAATACTTCTTAGAAGTTGATTATCGGGCACCATTCAAGTTTCCAAATTAAGCCAAATAGCAGCTCTCGTTATGATCTACCGAGCGACAAAGCAATATATAACTACTTTTTTTAAAATCTACTCTACGTGTAACACGTTGATAGTTTTTTTTTAACTTATTGATTTTTATTCAGTATAACTTTTTTTAAAAACTTTTATAAAATTAACAGATTGAACAATATTTCTAGAAATGTATTGATTGTAAAACTTTTTTGGCTTACCTTCTCCTTTATAGTGTTGTTTAATATATTCGGTAAAGTTGTCTTCTTTTCGTAAACTAGGTTCTCGCTGTATTTCAGAAGAAGAAGAATAGCACGAAACTACTTCAAAACGACGGTTATAAGTATAATGCCACACTTTTTCTTCCATTAAGAAATTGTGGGAATACAAATCGGCAACGGATTCGCTCCAAGGTTCGTCAACGTAATATAATATTAGCGCCCGCATGCATATTTTTTGAAATACAATTATAATATATGCGTTTACATATAGCCAATACATTGCCCACTAATTTAAACATAAAAAAGTACCATCAAAGTATATTCATTGTTTGTTTTATTAGGCTAACACGTATTTACAATTTAAATCGTAAACGAGTTTTTGAAAAAGAGAGTTTGCTTTTATTTTTTGGGATATCTTAAACACATTTGAAGAATGTGTAAACTCAACTTATAAAACTATAAACTTCGTTAAAAATGCAGCTTGACATTATAATAAAGCAACTATATATATCTAGACAAATCGCACTACAGTTTTATAAAATAACAATAATTAGTCAGTGATATAATATAAAATTTAAACGAGGGGACTGATATATATATATATATATATATATATATATATATATATATATATATATATATATATATAATTTTTTTTGGTGGGCCAGGGTGCAATGAAGACATGTGTTTGAAACACTAAATTGGGTAAACACACCATTATACAAGTAGAATACAATTATACTGTTTTAAATGTCATTTGATTAACTGAGAATATCAGCTTTAAATTACGTGATATTATCATAAACATATTTACCTTTGATTTCATAATTTGCATAAAATCCTTTATGTGTGTTTAATCCATTTGCTTTGAACTCCAGATACAAATAGTTACTGGTTGATTCTATTGTCCATGGTTTCGATGAACAGAAACTCCCAATCAAAGTTGAGTTATTTGATGGACCGTCGTGTATTGTAAGGTTTTCATTGTCACAATCATCTCCCAAATTGAAATCCGAAACACTGTAGTCGATATCATTGTTAAAATGTTATTCATTTTTTATTTATAAGTAAACACAGAAAATGTATTATAATTATTAATATTCATTTTTATTGATTATATCTTACAGCGAAACGTGAAAAGTGTAATATTATTTTTGGTGCATTCTATTACACAAAAACCAACGTACTTGAGAACAATGTAAGTATATGCGTTGCCCTGTATAGTCCAGGTGTAAAACATGTTCCCCAGGCAACCAATTGGATATCCAGGACTAGAGATAAAACCTTTCGATCCATTCAATATGGTGTGGGTATCTGCATTGGTCAGATCATGCAAAATGTCATTTATGAAGAGAAATGTGTGCCAATATTGAGTATGTTATGTGTAATATAAGCATATTTTTATTTTGCAGCCTTTTCCCGTTTTGGTCCAAGACACTGTAGTTAGAAAAAGTAGTGTTCATCTGTTTCAAAGACCTCGGTGGTCAGCATTTTATACAGTCGCCTCTGCTAAGGTGTGAAATTTTGATGATATAAATAAAACATAATCAATTATAACGTGAGAAAAAATAGCTATAGATTTAATTAAAATGATCAGAATAATGTTTTGTAGCAATGTTTTGCTAGTTTGGTCGAATATTCGTATCATTTATGAACAAAGTAATACGTAAATTATATTTCTTACATGTATGTGTATTATATGTTGCTATTCTTCAAGTGCATGGTTTTTAACACGTTTGTCTTTCAAGTGTTCGCACAAGTTTGTATGCTCCAAAATTTTGATTACTTACCTTGTGAATAAAACTCCCCATAAAATCCTCTGTATGTACCAGAACTATCTGTTTTAAAAGTGACCAACAAGATGTTTGTTGTCGATACCATCACAGCTGAGTCTCCCCTATCACAAACTTTTCTAAAACTTCGATCATTTTCAGTAGCTCCGTCGTACACGGTGATATAGTCGCGATGACAAGACTCTGTTTCCACAAATGATATGCTACAAAAAATGTTTTAGGAACAAAGTGGTTTAGTTCAATGTCACCTACGTAAAAGGTACAACGTTTTAGTAATGTATGCTTTATAAATACCTACTTTAAAATTATATTAGCTTTAGCTCGAGTTGACAGAGTCCATGTATATTTCTGATTATTCAAATATCGGAAGGGATATCCAGGACTTGCCAACTTGCCCGACCCATAAAGTGTACAGCTTCTGTCTGTTTTAAGTTATATAAAAAGTACTATACAACATACAGATGCAATTAACAGTATTCGTTAAGAGTGAATAAAAAGTGTATTTTTACATTCTCGTATTCAGAGGAAGTATTGTTATCATGCACAAAAATCACATGACATTTGACACCATTTTCACCTCAGCGTTTCATCAAATACGGAGTATATATGGGCTTATTTTTGTGTGAAGGCTACGACACCAGCACGTTCAGGTAGTTGGAATAAATTTCGTATATAATTACAAGATCTTATATTGGAATAACTGGCAAATGTTTAGTGACCTCAACAAAACGAAGTTGTACTTTATTTCTTAATTTCCAAAATACTGATAAGTTGAGTGCCTTTTCATTTTATTTTGGGCTTTTATCTACTATAGAGACACATAAGTTACATAAATAGTAATGTTTTATGTTAACCACAAAAATAAAATCTATTTATATCACAGGGATCACCAAAAAATGTTGAAGTAAAAACTCACATTGTTTGCTGTCAAAACTTTTCTGACAAATAAATCCCATCTTGGCTTGAGCATGGTGTGTTGTCCATCCGACTGTTGTCATGGCAACCGTTTCATTAAAGCCGAATCTTGTAGAGTTCCACCCAAAGTACACCGGTGTCTTGAGTTCAACATTTTAAAACGTATTTCAATTACTTGAACAACACTTACATATACAATTGATAAACTAAATTGTATAATTCTTGTCATGGCTTAGGCTGATTCTAATGATAGATCGACTAATATATGTTAAAAAAAGATGTTTTTATTTTCGTTTTATATTTAACTTATATTTTAAAATATGTAAAATCAAATTTTAATTTTAATTTTAATAAAATAATTAAATAAACAAGCTTTGCAATGGTGGTAAAGCATGATATACAGACTAAAATATTTAAATAATAAAAGAACAATCAACCTATATAGAATACCGACATTAATGTAAACATTAATAATATCTTTGATGCAACTACAATTATGACAAAATTACAACCTGTAATGAGCCAACAAATTGAAATGACTCCGATGTGTTGCGGTACAACCCGATAAAGACATCGTTGTTAAATTTCAGAACATGTCCTGTAATGATTCGCTTTGTATCAGTGTCAAAATGATGATGGCAAATAAAACTTACACGATCATTCATTATTTAAGTTGTTAAGTTAAAGTCTATACGTAATATCTTGTTTTAGAAAAGAACATAATAAATAATAACACAAAATAAAGAAAAACAATATTTTTAAAACAGTATGATTATCAACATGTTCAGTTAATAATTAAAATCGTACCTAATTACAAACATGTTTTACTATTGCAAAAAAAAAAAAAATAATCAAGGAATAATTAATTTAAAAATGTAAATCACTCTTGATAAAGTCGTCCATCTCTTGATCCAAGATTTCAACCAGCCTTCCTCTGCTCTTTGTTGGACCAAATAAACTATTCTTACAAAACTCTTCTGCCTCTGAGAATGTTTTCTTTGGAAACACCTTGAGGCAAGTGTTGGACTTTTGGTGGTGAATAAAACCATCCTTGCAAGCATCTGTATTAAAAGTGAATTCATTGCTCTACATAAAAAATAAACTTAGCATTGTATGTTTAGATTACGTTGGCGCTTTAAATGTAAAATTAGAAGAAGAAAAATAAAACATTTTGAACTCTAGAGAAATATTTTTCCCCTTCTACTCTCCCCTTACTGTTCTAAATAAATGTAATACAATTTCTATACAATTTCTAAGTGTGCTCCACGCAAGTTTTAAATGACCGCACCCCCCCCCCCCCCCCCCGATAGGTTCGGAAAAATTTAGACCATTTGTTTTATTTAGGCTAAATTCACCACTCACACAGACTGTACATCTGGTTGTCCACCAGTCCAAACATCTGCTTCTCGTTTCTTGTTAAATTCTCAAATGTTTTGGATATTGGTCTTTTATCAGCACATTTGGTCTGTTCAAATACAAACAAAATTGTAAATTAGTTAAATTCTCAAATGTTTTGGATGTTTGGTTCTTGTTAGCAAATTTGGTCTGTTCAAATACAAAGAAAAATTGTAAATTGGTTAAATTCTCAAATGTTTTGGATGTTGGGTTCTTGTTAGCGCATTTGGTGTGTTTAAGTACAAAATATATAAATTGGCTAAATTCTCAAATGTTTTGGATTTTGCATTTTAAAAATGCAATTGTTTCTTTTTATTGCAAACATTTTCTAGTAATTCCCCAAAATGTCAAAGATACTTTATATAAAATATTATTAAAGTAATTATGTTAATTAACGAAGCTGAAACTACTAAAATTATTTACTTTAAAAAGTCAAATCGTGTGTTGTTTGTTTTTATCTTTACCCTTGTAAAAATACCCGAGTGGTATTGAAAGTGTTACATAATGAATAATGAGTAGCTAAACGGAACAGATAAATATTTTGAGAAAAAAGACTGGACATGATGTGTGTGTTGCCGCTCTCTCATGTATGAAGCGTGCGTTACATGGGAATACATTTAAACAATTTGTATTTTTTTATTGTAATTCTTACAGTATTGTGCGAACACTTGTTGATTAAATATGAATATACTTACAGCATCCACTGTCCAGTATCGTGGTGAAGCAAAACTAGTTTGGCAGACGCCGTTCACTTGTTGCAGGCCGATGTATGGGAAGCAGGGGTCGTCTGTGTGGTTTGTGGGGGAAACGTCTAGAAACATTGTTATGAAATATATTAGTTTAATTTTATGCAATCGGTCGTTTCTTATACAACGTTAGCTTATACAGAGTAGTATAGCTTATTTAAAGTAAGAGCTTCTTTAAGAAAACATAATGATTACAGTTATTTTTTCTAAATTGAGGTCAATATGTTTCTAATTGTTTTTTTTTCCAATTTTTTCTCAACAAAGGTGAATAACATGTGTCGTTCTGCTTTAAACGCTTTTCTTATTTAAAAGTTGGACAGCTTTGAAATAATTTCGGTAACCTCAGCAACTGAGTTGACTATAACATAATTTCCAATACTAATTGCGACCAGCAAGGTTGAAATATGGATCACAATGTATTTGATATATATATATATATATATATATATATATATATATATATATATATATATAATATATATATATATATATATATATATATATATATATATATATATATATATATATATATATATATATATATATATATATATATATATATATATATAATGTATAAACTTGAGTAATAAACGAGTGTGCATGCATGTAATTATAATGAGTACCTATTTGACAAATAAACGGAAACCGGTAAGAACAATCGCAGTCATCAATTTCGCTGCTGACATTAACGATCACACAATGTTCCCTGTTCTGCTAGTTGTCAGGATTTTCCTTGGACCACCAGCTGTCCTTCGTAGACAGATTCCGACCGGAACTTGTCCAGACAAATACGTTTTCAGTTACCAGGTCGCTCGCTCCTATCCAAGCTAAGGAAACCAACATAGTATTGTATAGATGATATAAATATTTTTTATTATTTTCTCGTATAGAGACAATAGACAGATTAACGGAATTGTTAAAAAATATTGCAATCGAAATTTTTATCACATTGTACTATTTCCTGAGTAAGAGAAGTCAAGTTTTGCAATCGTTTATGTTCGTCGTTTGGTTTCTCCTTAAAATCTGATAATTTTTTTACCGATTCCGTTAGGTAGACTTTCTTTGATATCTAATGTATAGATAATCTTCCTAGATTTATTTCTACGATTAGTTATTTCTGGTATAGGGAAGTGGTATCTAATATATTTCAGTTTTATCAAAATTCGATAACTTGAAACTGGTTAAGTAAGCTGGACGAAGTGAATAGTAATAGAACATATATATATATATATATATATATATATATATATATATATATATATATATATATATATATATATATATATATATATGCTTCTGTAGGTTTTTAATCTATTCCCAGAAACCAAAATTGCAGAGACACCAAGATATTATTTCACATATTAATATAAGTCTAAAGTAAAATGTATTTCTGCTCACCAATAAGTTTAGCTTCTTTGGTAATTTCCTCAATTGCTTTCCTCTGTTCACTGTTAGTCGGTTCAGCCAGTTTGCCGTTATAAAATGTTGTCTTACAGTACTCCTGTAAATATTTATCGTTTCATTTCATATTATACAAAAATGTAAACATTTTTTTTTATAAAGCTAATTTGTAACAAACAAAAACGTAATCATTATTTAATGTTTGTTTACGTATTGATAAAAAACATTACGAAAGATCAATTCTTACATTCGCGTTTGCCCAGTTTTCACCAAATGTTATAAGTTTGAAATACGTGTAGTTCTCTCTGAAGCTTAAGAAATCTATGCATAAAGAATACAGTTTTGATCTTATTTATATTAAAAGCAGTGTTTTTACCAGACTTTTTTCTCCGAGTGGGCGGCACTTGAAACTATATGATGGGGGGGGGGGAGGCGGAGACTATTACAATTATATATTTTCTATATAAATTCAATTATGTACTGCAGGTGGGGTGGTACTCTCTTCAATAGGGGGAGGGGGTTAATCCCCCTCGCCCCCTCCCCATCCGAAGAGATAGCTGGAAGAAACACTGACTGAAAGATGATGTGTAATGACATGTTACTGAGGTGTCAGTTGTGATAAGTCAGTTTTGACAGAGCACATCGGGCATTTAAAATTTCCTTAGATGGCTACATGATTGTTAGGATTTCAATTATTTCTGAATTTTGTTTTTAAATGTTTCTAATATCGAGATTACTACTAGAGAATATTACTAGATGGCGATACTGTCACGTCAACCTTATGACATCACTGTCTTATATATATTCTGACGATACTGTCAAGTCAAATTTGTGACATCCATCAATGTGACGTCCATCTAATGAGATCACAATACAATCAGGGTGATAACATACGAACCAGCCTCCACTTGACAAATAAATTGACGTTTATTCTTCGGTGGGACATGTCTCCAACCATCCCTTGTGATCACGGTACTTGTGAAGTACGTCACATCCTCGACTTGCTTCCACGGCAGATAATCAACTTCCTGCGAATTAGTTAAAATTTGCATTCCGTCAATGTTTTTCTAATTAAATGTTATGACAGACAAAAAGTAATGAGGTACTTTTTATACATTAAACTAAAGTTACACACAACCTTACATTTAAACATCGGTTACATTCGTGGGAAACGTTAATTCAAACTTTAGATCAGGTTTTGAATGTACCTCACAATTGAGAACTGAAACGTTGTGCGGGGGGGGGGGGGGGTGTAAGAGGAAGGGCCATAATTAACATTAACCACAGCTTACATGAGTACTCTCTTTCCAATACAGCCCCCTACTTCTGTTGAGAAAAATTCCAATGCGGTAGGTGGCGTTTTCGTTGGCCAGCATTGACTCTGCAAAGTTATAGGTAGTAATTGTATTCGGTGACTGAGACAATCTACTTAATTAAGTGCTAAGTAAACCTTGATGGCTGATTATAAATATTGATGATTTTACACTATAATCAACTTTATAACACGACTTACTCATATGTAAAATTAGTATTATTAGTATTTTATTAAAACACACACACACACACACACACATATATATATATATATATATATATATATATATATATATATATATATATATATATATATATATATATATATATATAAAAGTCATATTCGTAGAGAAAGAACACATTTTTGAGCACATTACCTTTGATGAATTCATCTGTTTCTTGATCCTCTATATGAGCCAAGTGCGCTCCGCCCGAGAGAGATGAACAATGTTCGACAGATTCAGTAAAATTTTTCAACAGTTCCACCATCAGAAAACATGAGTCGGAATGTCTGTGGTAGATCCAACCCTCTTCACTGCAACTCATATCAGCTGCAAAAGTAAAGGTTTTAATTTATTGGAGTACTTGAGGAGCATATTGGAGCAGCCATACCCATCCAAAAGACTTAATTTTTGTGGAAAAAGCTTTTAAATGTTAGATAACAATGTAACAATTAGCTATACAATATATGTGTACACCAGTGCTTCACCTAAAGATGCTTGTATGGTTTATGGTGTCACGTTGGTAATAAAACAAATAGTATACGCTCAAAATAGCTGTGGAAGTATTAGTGTGAAAATTCGATCGGTGTACAATGTTTCAGATCATAATAAAAAAAATAGCTAAATGATGTTATATCAGAATAAGTATTAAACCCATTTTTGTAAAAAAAAAATTAATTGTCTATGTTGAGTACAACTGTATCTTCCCTCCTTCATTTTCTATTTTTGGTTCAACAAAATTTATCAAAGTTACATGAGGTCGTTTTAGGTTTTCTATTTAATGAACCGAAAACTACAGGCTTACAGTTAATAGTACATTGGCTAGTTTTGTTGGATCGATGTAACGGGGCTCTTATAGAGTTACCAGACTTTCTTATGGCAGCTACTGTGACTTTGCTGATTCCAAGATGTAAACGTAATAGAGAGGGTGCCTTATGTTCGAGCTGCATCTGGCTCTTCTCAACTTAGGCCCAGGCTTTGTGCTTGAATTTCCAATACGCAATCATCCAACGGTCTACTAGACTTACAGAGCCATATATATATACCAGATTGCGAATTTTAAGCGAGATGGTCCGATACTCAACAGCCCTATTATGAAACGTCATATTCTGTTAACTCCAAAAGCCCGTAAGTTTCATTGTTGTACATTTGGAGAAAATTAACAGGCGTAACACAAGTGTACATGTACAAGATTCAACAATAAGATGTAGGCTATAATTAATGACCCGAACTCACCGGGAACACACGCAACAGCGCAAGTGCTGAACGTTGTCCCAACATCACATACACATTTTGAATCCTTGCAATGTCCCGTAACACACTGGCTGCTAATACTGCAGGATTGGTTGTAGCCAGTTAAACCAGGTGGTTGGGTGTTACAGAGGGCAGATTCACCATCAGCTGCGATCTAATGTAATTAAGTTTTAGTTAATATTTTTATTCATGACTAGAAAATTACACAAATTAACAATACAATGGCTTGATACTATGTTTAGTTACTATAAATAGAATCAAATTGAGACGAATCAACGTTTTAATAGCTTAAAATTCAACATAAACTGATCCAAGTGAAGAATGCAGCTATTTCTGTGACTTCGGTGTGCAAAAAAGTGGTAAACAGCACTGTACCCAGGGGCATTTACTTTAAATTATCTGAGTCAGGTACCGATCAAACTGTACTATTCTTTATAAACAAAGAATAAAGTTTAAAAATAAAACGACTATAGATGGGACGGTTAGGGGAGCTGCAAGGCTTGGAAAATAAGCTATTTGAATTGAGCCACGCAACTAAACGAACTTGAAATTGTACTAAAGCTTTATATTCAGTGGCGTAGGTAAAAATAAATCCCCCCATCCCCCAAAGCAATTTTTTCGCCATTCCATATATATATATATATATATATATATATATATATATATATATATATATATATATATATATATATATATATATATATATTAGAAGAAAGACTCACTAAATTTTAAAATAACTATTTAAACCTTTTCATAATTTAGTAACTTGCTTCAGTAGCGTAGCGAGGGGGGGGGGGGGCGGGGGGAAATATGTCCCAGGGCGCCGACCTTAGGGGGCGCCAAAATCGGTTGGAAAAATAAATTGAAAGGTTGAGGAGGGTGCAAATCGAAAGTTTGAGGGAGGGGGGGTGCAAATCGAAATCTTGAGGGGGTGGGGGTGCAAATCGAAAGTTTGAGGGGGTGTGCAAATCGAAATCTTGAGGGGTGGGGGTGCAAATCGAAAAGTTTGTCCCCGGGCGCCTCTGATTTGCCTATTTCATCGCAAAGTATATGCATCGTGAGACAACAAATCACGCAAAAACATGTTTTAACTAATTTCGAGCCTTAGCTGCCGAAAAATGTCGAGAAGAGTTACTTCTGTTACGTCAAGCCACTCTATATGAAACGGAGCTTTGATATGTGTTAAGGTTTCCTGTTTTTGTTTTATTCTTATGTTTTATTTTTGCATATATTTTTTTAATACATTCATTATTATAGTTGTGTCATTCGTAGTACACAACTCTTAAAATATGTGGCACCTTTATTAAATTATTTAAAGGGGAGAGATAAGTCGCGAAGTGGTTTGAAGGTGCATTTTTTTTCTATCAACGCAACAGCATTGCGGTGACTGGTTGTATGGTAATTACATTCCTTGTTATAGTCACATTTTCTTACGTCGTTTTCCACTTATAGTCATTAGCCTACTTAAAACCTGGAGGTCAGTTTTTGTTTTTCGTAAGTGGTTTGTTGAGCTGGTCTGTGCAGTCATGTGTCGTTTAGCTTCTGGAAAGTGGCATTTTTAAAACAATATTTGGGGTTTTGCAGCAGTTTTTACATTGTCTTTTATTAGACATCATTCCTCGTATCGATAACCTTACTATAATATATATATATATATATATATATATATATATATATATATATATATATATATATATATATATATATATATATATATATATATATATATATATATATATATATATATATATATATATATAGTATAAACGCAACATTTTGCCTCGCCAACTGGGCTAACCAAAAACATGTACCTAATATATGACTAAAACACTCCTCCGCCTTTTCTCTCCATACATTGTAAACCTGTTTTTACCAACCAACATATCTAAGTGTTACGATTTGTCTTGGGCACGGAAAGAGAACCAATAATTATAATTAAAATGGGCGCTGTTATAAAAATATGTGAGTAGACAAAAAAAAGCCGAATAAACGAGTTTAATACTCACCAGTAAAGAACTCCAAAATAAGTTTAAAAGCAAAGTCGTGATGAGATTGTCATCCATTTTCAACACATCTACATCATACTGAACTAGAAAGAATAATGAGACAACCCTTCAGTCGATGCTTGACTAGAGTTAATGAGGAAGTAAAAACAGTATAAAATACTATACATGGCTTTTGTTTTACTAGTTCAGTAGCTAGATGTTACTTTTACTTGCTAAGTGTAGCAGTACTGTATATATCATTTTATTTGGGCAAAAAAAACTTGCCTGTCAGATCTTATGGGTACGGTTTATAGGCCTACTCGTGTCCTTGAAACAAATGGCGCTTTCCTAGAATTCTTATAAAGCACACCGTTTCTTTTTTTAACTTTCTGTAAAAAAAAATATTCACTCGACTACATATTCACTACGAATCGTATATGTCTAGGTTTTATAATTTCAAAAATCAAATTATTTATTTCTATAATGAATCGACTCGTATATTAAATAGAATTACACTTTCTCGAATATTCTTATACTAGATAAATGGCCGGTTGAGGGAGAAATACAACGGGCGCAGAGTTGATAGTGTTGTCTTTTTCTCTAAACCAGGACCAAAACCAAAATCATTACCTTAACTTTAAATTTAACCGTACACGAAAAATGTCAATGCGGACCACTTTTAAGATTAGACAAATAAATTAGGCGGTATTGTGTCATTATTATCAAGTATCAAAGACTTCTAAATTTGATATATAGTATTTATACATAAAATGTCGTCAACCTAGCTGTAACGGCACTCAAGTTGTGTTTACAGAGAAACAAACACACGACATGTAGACAAAATTGTATTATATTTCCAGATTTGTGAAAATTTCGATTTCTACTTTTTGCACAATCACAATTGTTTTTTCTTTACTCAGTATACTAGAAAGATTTTTTTTTAAAATCCCAACATTGTGTTTGTAAAAGTACGGTATAAATGCATGTTGCTCAGTCAGAGGCGTAACTATGGTGAGGCAGGGGTGGGGGGGGTGGGGTGTATATTCTAAGCGGATGCGAAAAGGGGTAGAAAAAATATAAAAGATGATTCACAGCTGAATTTGTGAATTATGCAAAGTAAAGAAAATAAACCGACAAAAATCATTCATTTATTTTCACGATTACAACGTAGACCTTTAACATAGGACCTACTGTTTAAATCAAAATTCATACAAGACAAATCCTACTAACAATTTAAAACTAATTGATTAGGCATGGCAAACACACCTGTAACTCTATAAAAATACGTTTCACACTCGCATTTAACGAACAATTTAACGTATGCAGGACAACGACTTTTGTGGTTATTTCATTTAAACTTCCTATTCTGGCTCTTCAATCCGGATGTCTATAGGGCTGGTAAGTTGTTCACCAACCAGTTCTATGGCGTAATAAAACCTGCATGAGGCGTAGAACTGGTTGGTGACCTACTTACCAGCCCTATAATGTGAAACACTCTATTTTATACTTATATATGTAATGGTGTAAATATTCGAAACTCGGCCTGCAATTTTGGTTATATTACATTATCGCTAACTACATATATTAATTATGCTTAGGGGTCATCCATTTATGACGTCCTCAAAAAAATTCGGATTTATTTAGATCCCCCCTATTGACGCAACCACTTTTAACCCCCTAATTTCCACAAGGAGGACGTCCACACATATTTAATAGACCTATAAAAACTTACTACCAACTTGCTATTTAAATAACATGTATTTTGTGTTTATTTACTGATACCCTTCTTTAATATTTTGGTTTCTATTATAAATGTTAAACGTTTTATCTACTCAACGTTCCGGTGTAAATCCTTCCCATATACCTGGGTGAAAGAGCGCACCCACTCACCACCTTTTTTTACTTTACTGTTACACGTAAGCTTTCGTACAAAGGTTTCTTTTCTAAGTGTTAAAAGAGCTATCTACACACCAAACCAGTAGGCCTACAAATCATTGCAATTTTTGAGGGCCAAAAAGCGCCCCGTCCCTCCACACCATTATGAACAAAGTTGTTAGAGCGGGTTTTAACGTCACTCCATTTTTAC